GTGTGTAGGTGTGTATGGTGTGTAGGTGTGTGTATGGTGTGTAGGTGTGTGTGTAGGTGTGTATGGTGTGTAGGTGACAGCTGGGTTTCTGCATTATTTGTTACGATAATGCAGGTGTGGATGCACTGAAGAGGTAATCAGCCCAAACAGATGGGGAGGAGATGGAAAGAGGGAGGAATGGCCCTCACTGCCTCAGGAAAACACAGCAACAACAATCTGCACACATGCACATGTGAAGAGTTAAAACTGAGTGAGCTGCACTCAGTGAACTGATCTGATCAGAGTCTGATCGGCTGTCTGCACGCCGTCACAGATGGAGGTGTTAACAGTCACTACATGGCTCTAACGGCTGATTGGAGGAGAGGACAGAGAGAAAGGAGGGAGAGTGGGGGGGTCAGAGGATAGATATGGAAAAGGAAGAAAAAATTACCAACGTCATTTGACCTGCAGCAGCAGTCATTATTTCCCACAGTTCCTACGTCTGGAAAATATGCAACATACACACAAACAACAACAACATGTAGCCTTGAAGCAGTAACACAGTGAGGGCCGAGGCGGGCGGGCGGGCGGCGGCGGCCCGCCGTCACCCACCGGCGCAAATCCAACCAGCTACATGCTAAACATCAGCTTCACTTCAAAACTTAGAAACAAAAGCAAACAAACATTTTAATCAAACATTACTGGCTGGTTTTATTTTGCCGCAGATTCAGAAATACTTTTAGAAACAGGTGGGGGAGGGGCCGGTTCAGAGACTGCACAAGTTCAAGGGTCAATTCAGCTGTAGTGCTTATGCTTCAGAAGCAGTGCTGGGCACCCATCTGCTAACATGCTAATGGCAGAGCTAATGTTAAGCTTAGCACTTTAGCATTTTAGCACACCTAGCTTCCCCTACATTAATTTTTCCAAATAAATTTATTTGGCTGTTTTATAAACATCTAGTTGAATCAGGTTTAAGTTTAGGTTATCCAACCATTAATCATGCTCTTATTTTGAAGAGGAGGAAGATCATTTGCGGTGCAGTTTCGTCTCCTGTTTTTATTCACTAATAATTTTAGTTAAAGCAAGTAAAAAATAAAATACAGAAAAATACAATATTTAAGGCCATTATAGTTATAATGTCAAATTAAAGCTCCGCGGAGCCTCAAGCGGCCCTCGCAGCCAAGCGCCGCTCAAGCCTATA